TCGCTTCCTGACAATTAAGACTACTTTTCTTCTAGCTATTACTTCTCTAAAGAGAGTTGGGGATCTTCAGGCCCTCTCAGTGGCCCCTTCCTATTTAGACTTTGCACCCGGCATGGCCAAAGTGTTTCTCTACCCTCGAGCGGGGTGTGTCCCGAAGGTTCCCTCGGTTATACCACAGCTTATCGTGCTGCAGGTCTTTTGTCCTCCTCCCTTCAGGGAGCCAGACCAGCAGAAGCTTAATTGCATGTGTCCAGTACGAGCAGTCTGGCTGCGTGGGCATTCTCGTTCCCGTAGTGTCTTCGGACGCAGCTCAAGTTCCTGAAGGGGAATGTCTCCAGGTTACATATGTAACCATGGTTCCCCGAAGGGAACGAGATGCTGCGTCTCAGAGCCATAATTCCGGCATCCCTGCGAGCGCTTGCTTCATTCCTTGAATTTGAAGCCGGTCCCACCTCACGTGCCTTTATAGCTTCCTGGTCGCTACGTCACCCACTTATGACGTCTCGCCCTTCCATTGGACTGATTACACATGTGATTCAGAGCACGGTCACGCTGGGGGCGTTCCCGTAGTGTCTTCGGACGCAGCGTCTCGTTCCCTTCGGGGAACCATGATTACATACGTAACCTGGAGACATTATACTTGTGCTCCTAGAATCTGTGTTTTCATTGTTATACGGTAGGGAGCGCTAGTAAAAATCTTCTGTACAGAACTTCCAAAAAACACAAGTGAAGAAGAAACCGAAACAACAGATGCTTCCACATGTAATCTAACACGATCCTCAGACATAAAACAGCATCAAAACTGTGTAGTGCTATGGAATAAAATGTCGACCGATGAAGAGGTAATAATGACTTTCAACATTTTAGGTGGTGTTGATCGACTCTATGTTCTGATGATCATTCTGAATCCAATTCATAGACTTTTCAGTTTTTTGTTCAAAATGTTGTTTATTTCTTTATTTTTTATTTATGAAACTTACCCACAAGTGTTTGAAAAAAGAATGCATAAAGCTAGAATAAAATTTTTTTGTTTACAAGCAGATACCCTGTTCTTTCTTTTGAATATACTGTATGTTCAGATATTCATATAACAAAATATATACAAATGAATACCCAAATAGGGACATAGAAGTGTACTTAACGTATGATGTAATGTTCACTTAAAGAAAACTTACGAGTATACTTGCAGTATAAAACTACTAAACTAGTACTTTACTGAGACTACACTTCAAAGTGCACTAAAAATGCTACTACAAGTATTTAATTAGTAAACTATCAGTATACACAAAAGTTCACTTTCAGTATAGTTGCAGTACAAGCTAAAAATATTGATGTAAACTAGTTGTGTACTCAAAGTTTACTACTGTTATATTTAATGTATACATAAAAGTATACTTTTATCTACTAGAAAGTGGGCCAATTTAGTCCCAAGGAGTATTGAAATAGTTCTGTAACGGGACCGACGAGACGTGAGACGTGAGACGTGAGACGTGCGGATCCATTTGCAAGGCTTTTATTTCCAAACGTGGTCATAAAACAGGCATGGGTTCAACAATGGCAAACAGGTACAACACAGGCAAGACAAAGAGTAATCCTAGGATAAGCGTGGGTCTTCGATCAGCGAACAATATCCAACAGAGCAAGGCAATGAGATAATCCAGATACACAATAGTCCAGGCAGGGGCAAACAGAGTCCGAATGGCAAAGCAAAGGGTAAATTCAAGAAACACAGGCAAGAATCAGAACACGAGAAAACAGGCAAGGCAAGACTATGATTAGATTAAGAAAACTAGAATGGGCTCCGTAGAGTAGCTATCGCTAGAAGAGTGATATACGCTAAACAATACTTGGTGATCAGAACGAGGAAGTCCCAGGCTTATAAAGCATGTCAGATTGGTTGCAGCTGTGTGCAGGGCTGGACTGGGACAAAAAAATCGGCCCTGGCATTTTTTGGTCCAGGCGGCCCATCACCACTTCGATATATACTGTGTATATATATATATATATATATATATATATATATATATATATATATATATATATATATATATATATATATACAGCAAAAGCAGTAATATAGTGAAATATTTTTACTATTTAAAATAACTGTTTCTATTTGAATATATTTTAAAATTTTATTTATTCCTGTGATTTCAAAGCTGAATTTCTTAGCATCATTACTCCAGTCACATGATCCTTCAGAAATCATTCAAATATTCAGATTTGCCGCTCAAAAAACATTTATTATTATTATTATTATTATGTTGAAAACAGCTGAGTAGACTTTTTCAGGTTTCTTTGATTAATAGAAAGTTCAGAAGAACAGCATTTATCTGAAATATATATTTTTTGGTAACATTATGTCTTTATCGTCACTTTTGATCAATTGAAAGCATTCTTGCTAAATAAAAGTATTAATTTCTATCTTTCCCCAAAAAATATTATTTTATAATAAAATAAAAAATAAAATAAAAATACTGACTCCAAGCTTTTGAATGGTATATGTATAATGTTACAAAAGCTTTTTATTTCATATGAATGCTGATCTTTGGATCTTTCTATTGGATCTTTCTTACAGTTCAAAAAATTTTGACTGGTAGTGTATGTATGTAGCCTATGTATCACACTCATATCACATCTTGTTTTGGATAAGAATAAAACGTCAGGTCCGACAATATCGTGTCTTTTTTTTATTTAAATCTAGCTTTATTCGCATTGGCCCATGGAAACCTCTATGAACACACTTGACTTGACTTGGCTAAAAAAAAGTATTTACGGCCAAAGCACACACATTAGGATAGGTTAGATTCCTGCCTCCGTTGCGAGTCCCTATCAAGCACTTTACCAATTCACCTAGGCTACTCTCTTCTTCTCCTCCTGCCTTGCTCTTTGGCCAGCATCACTCACCACAGAGCAAGCCTGTTCTTGATAAATCTCCTGTGAAAACGTGGGAAAAGCCGACGAGGAAGAAGTTGGGGTGATGCGATCTTTATATAGGCGGAGCAAAATACTTCATCGCTCCGTCTATAGCGCATTGTGATTGGATGTTTACGCTGTCAATACAGGAGACAAACCAATGGGCCACTGGCTGCTCGCTGTCCCTGCGTGATGGTCATCGGCAAAAAACAAAAAAACATTCTGTCGGCCCCTTAAATGCGTCGGCCCACCAGGAAAATGCCAGGTATGCCCGATTACCAATCCAGCCCTGGCTGTGTGTGTGTGTGATTGGTGCAATGGATGATGGGAACTGCAGTCCAGAGTAATATGCAGCAGTCTGTGTAGTGTGAGAGTCAATGTAACTGAAGAGTGACCTCTGGTGGCAAGCAGATGGAAGTCCATGGGCAGGATTCGTGACAAGTACACTACTAGTACACTGATATTTGTATACTTCCTACATTAAGTATACTTAAAAATATACTTGAACTTTACTTATACTTAATCAAATAAACTTGAAGTATACTACTTTTTGGTAAGGGTGTTTATGAATCTTTGAATGAATTTGATGATTAGGAAAACATGGTTTCTCTTTTTAATCCTTAACCCTTTTCCATCATCTTTGTCTCTGTGTAATTCATTTTACAGTTCTGGCGATTTGGGAAATGGATTGATGTTGTCATTGATGATCTGCTTCCAACAATTGATGACAAGCTAATTTTTGTGGGTTCAAAAACATCTAATGAGTTTTGGCCTACCTTACTGGAGAAAGCTTATGCAAAGTAGGTGCCAGCAGATGCTGTGATATAAAGACGGAATTCATTTACTTATTGTTTATAGTCTCAAGAATATTGATGTGTGAAACATATGCATGCTCTTAGCTTTGATTTGCCCTCTAGATTTGGATGTTGTTGTGAGGAGGAACACAGTAACATCTTTAAACATTGACAGGGCACATTACATCATATTTACTCCGTTACACTGCACCATAAAATGGTTTTGGCTTTATAGGGTATGCGGATCTTACGGAGACCTAGATGGCGGATTCATGTCTGAGGCCCTGATGGACTTCACTGGTGGGGTGCACATGGAGTTTGTGTTGAATGAAGCCCCAACTTATCTGTGGGACATTATGGATCGTGCAGCTAAGTCACAAACCCTCATGGGCTGTGCTTCTTATGACAGTGTAAGACCTCTCATAATCCTGGATTCAATGCTTCATTGACAAATACTGTTGGCATGAACCATTGATATAGAAATACATTTGAAATCAAAAGTTTACACACACCTTGCAGAATCTGCAAAATGTTAATTATTTTACGAAAATAAGAGGGATCATACAAAATGCATGCTATTGTTTATTTAGTACCGACCTGAATAAGATGTTTGTCCTAAACAGTTAAACTGCCTGCTGTTCTTCAGGAAAATCCTTCAGGTCCCACAAATTCATTGGTTTTGGAAATTTTTTTTGAACCCTTTCCAACAATGACTGTATGATTTTGCGATCCATCTTTTCACACTGAGGACAACTGAGAGACTCATATGTAAACATGCAAACCTCTGGGAAACATGTAATATCTTGAAATAAGAAGGGCAGTACTCAATGAAAAAAAAACATGATATTTAGGCAAAATAGCCTATCACCTCACCTATTAAATATTATTTTGTTTGCATTTGCTGGATGACTTTACAGGGCTGCTGTGTTGCTGGTATGACACATGAAATATATTGTGTGTATAATGTATTTAACTCTTTCAGATCATCTTTGTGGGACACAGTGAGTAAGCAGGACCTCAAGTGCCGTGAACGTCTTGAAAACGGGGAGTTCTGGTCAGCATTTATGTTGTAATATATGACTGTACTCAAAGCATGAATCACATTTACTTAGGAACACATGTCTGTTCTGCAGGACGTCAATGGAAGATTTTACCAGAAACTTCGAAAGCTTGGATATCTGCTGTCTCTCTCCTGATTTTCTGGACAGATCCTCTGGATGCCATTGGAAATCACAATGCAATTTTGGCAAATGGATTGCTGGGACTACAGCTGGTGGTTCCATGCACAATATGGGTACAGTGATATAATTATTATTTTTTTAATATCTAGTATGTTTATATTTATATCTATTAATATATAGGCTTCTATATGTTATAAATGAATGTATAAATTGTGGTTTCAATAATGATACTCTTAATAAAAAACAATGGGAAAGTATGGAATATAATGAGTTAATATAAGAACTTCCCCCTGGATTATGGATTTTGGGGATGTTTTCATCTGTGACCTCCTCCAAAGGCCCTCTTACTGAGCATACATTTTCAGCATACAAAGAATGCAGATGATTATTGTTAAGCATCTGACCTGGGTTTGATTTATAAAAAGACTTCTAACTCTTTCGCTGCGTTTTAGCGACTTTCTGGAAAAACCCTCAGTTTCGGGTGAGGATCGAGGAGCTTAGTGAGGACTGTACTCATGAGGAGGGTGCTGAAAACATACTGGTGTCGCTCATGCAGAACCATGAGAAGAGAACCAGAAGTAGCCAAAAGAACTTCATGATTGGTTTCTATGTTTTTATGGTCAGTATTGACAGATGTAGTTCTGCAGGTTTTACATTTCAGAGAGATTGTAGGAGAGTTGTAGCACTGTTTCTTAAACGTCTATAACATGTTTAATTTTTTTAAAAATGTTATTTATTGTTTGTGATATGTTTGTAATGTGTCTGCTACAGATTGGTTAAGAAAACTGTAACGTATTCGTAAAATGTACAAGTGAATGATAATTAAAAGGAGAAATAATATACTTTTCTAGAGATATTTTTAGTGACTGGATAAAACAAATATAGTTTGTGTGTGTCTCTTTCATTTCATTGCTACTTTATCAACCTTTTTTATACTTCTACAGTCATCATCCTAAGTAAATCAGTAAATATGAACTCACAAATATTTGACTATATATAGTCAAATATCCAGAGTACAGTATTGACTCATCTAATTCTTCTTTAGGTGAGAGGTGAGAGCGGGAAGTTCTCAGCTGAGTTCTTTAATGACAAAACACCTGTGGAAATGAAGTCTTTCCAAAACTTGAGAGAGGTGATGGGATTCTTCTGGCTGGAGCCAGGAGAGTACCTGATTGTACCGTGCACAGAGAATCCTGGTCAAACTGCCTCCTTCGTTCTGTCTATTTTCTCAAAGCATGAGACACACTTTGAGTAAGTTGTGGTGCAGTCAAAAGATTTTTGTTAATTTTACACTTGTCATTAAATGAAGACCTTCACAGCAGAAAATATTTGGAATACAAAGTTAATTTGATGTATTCAGTGATTAATATCTTCAGTTTGGTCTATTAGCTTCTGTCCTCAAAAGTTCTTCTCTTTACATCAGATATATTGAAGAGGCTGAGGAGAATGAAGACAATTCCTGATGTTAGCGAAGCCTGTCACTCAAAATGGCTACTTGGAGAAATAAGCCAACTTATACCTAATCACGTTTTCTTTGTTCTTTCATGCTCAGTTCAGAATGGCTATTTAGCTTTATTTTATTACTCTTTTTTTCCTCCAAAGAAATCAATTTGTGACCACTGTTGACACCTGTTAAACTAAAACTAATGTCTTATATGTTTGGTGGTTGATTTACTGTGTAGTTACATTTTCCCTAGAAATGTGTTATTTGGTGTATACTATTACTTGCTAATAACGTTACCCTTTATTTTGATAGTCCACTTTAGACATTCTACTAACTATTAGTAACTTTGCAACTACATGCCTACTATCTCTCAGAGTAGACTGTTAGGTTAGGTTTTGGGTTAGTAGAATAAGCTGACATATACTTGCAAAGTTTCTTATAGTCAGTATGTTGTATGTTGTGGACCCATCAAAATTAAGTGTTTGAAGATATTAAGCAGACAGTCTACAAATACTCGAATGACTGCTACACTCTTAAAATTAAAGGTGCTTCACGATGCCATAGAAGAACCTTTTTGTCTAAATGGTTCCATAAAGAACCTTTAACATCTGAAGAACCTTTCTGTTTGACAAAAGGTTCTTTGTGGCGAAAGAAGGTTCTTCAGATTATAAAAAGGTAAGAAAGAGATGGATCTTTAAAGAACCTTTGACTGAATGGTTCTTTGTGGAACCAAAAATGGTTCTTCTATGGCATCGCTTGAAGAACCTTTTGAAGCACCTTTATTTTTAAGAGTGTAGTTGACATTTAGTTGCAAAGTTACTTACTGTTAGTAGAATATCTACTGTAAATTGGACTATCAAAATAAAGTGTTACTGCCAATAAATATACAATTCATGAAATTGTGTTTATTTGTATTTATTCGTTTTAATATTTCTAATATACCAATAGATAATCACACCATCCTTTGACATTAAGGTCAAACAAAATCATTCATTGACACCTTCGGTACTACTGTATGTTTACATGCATACTTCATTCGAATATAGCTTATACACTTTTTGCAGAGAAAAGCAAGGCAGCTAATGAAATAAGCACTGTTGACACTTTTGGCTTCCCTAAATGTAACACAAAAGCGAAGTTATTTTTTAAAATGTATTTACTTATTTTTAAGTTATTAAAAATACATTAAAACTAGCAGTATAGATTGGCAGGAAAATTAAACAAATGCCTGCACTGAACGCTTTTATACTCCATATCCTTGCTGCTCACAGCTTAATAATTCACCTGCATCATCAAACTCCTAGAACAGTGGTCTTCTCCATATATGGAAGCAGCTAATTTCGTCTAAGTCGTATCCAAAGACATGGAAATAGAATCTGTTTTAGCTGACTGAAAAATAGGCTACATGCGCCTCAAAACACTGTGATGGGTGCATTATTAGAAAAATAGTTAGGGACTTATCCGTAGTAGGCTGTACAGAGCAAACGAAAAGACAACATTGTAATATATGACAGACAATGTCAGCTCAAAGATGGAATTACTTTTTGTTGTTGGACCTGTTATATCTATTTTATTTCTTTAAATCTATTCTGTAAATTATACATTTAAAACGCTCTTCTCCAGAAATGGAGAAAATCGGTGTTTTTAAATCGTATTAAACTTTAGAAGTTTTGCTCTCTCTCTCTCTCTCTCTCTCTCTCTCTCTCTCTCTC